AGGTTCATATGGAAATAGGCAGTCCTTGAGGTATTGCGGTCCTAAGCTGTTTAAAGCTTTATAGGTCAAAATTGGACTTTTAATTGGGCCTGAAAACTAATTGGCAGCCAGAGCAGTGGGACCAGGATCGGTGTAATAGGCTCAAACCGTCTTGCCCTGGTGAGCAACCTGGCCGCTGAATTCTGCACTAGCTGAAGTTTCCAAACTTGTCTTCAGAGGCAGCCCTACGTAGAACGCATTGCAGTTATCTAACCTTGAGGTTACCAGAGCATAGACAACAGGAGTTAGACTGTCTCTGTCCAGATAGGGGCTGGGCCACCAGCCAAAGCTGATAGAAGGCACTCCTGGCCACTGAGGCCATCTGAGCCTCGAGCGACAGCAAAGGATCCAGGAGGACCCCCAGGCTATGAACCTGCTCCTTCAGGGGAAGTGTAACCCCATCAAGAGCACGGAACCTCCCAGTAGGGAACCACTCACTAACAGGGCCTCTGTCTTATCTGGGTTGAGCTTCAGTTTGTTGGCTCCATTATTTAGGCAAGACACTGATCCAGAACTTCCACTGCCTCACCTGCAGATGTAAAGGAGAAACAGAGCTGAGTGTCATCAGCATATTGCTCACAGCAGACTCCAAACCTCCAGATAACCCACTTAGAGGTTTCACATAGATGTTAAGCATCTATGTTGTTGTTGTTGTTGTTGTTGTTGTTGTTGTTGTTATTATTATTATTATTATTATTATTATTAATGTGGGCGACAGGATTGAGCCCTGCGGAACCCCACATTGAAGGTTCCACGGGGATGAATAGCATTCCCTAAGCAACACCCTATGAACTAGATGACCCTCAGGGTCCTTTCCCTGTCAGTTATTCTAGGATTTAATAGCTATGATTCCTGCCTTGCAGAGGGATGAGCTGGATGACCTCTGGGGAGTCCCTTCCACCTTTCTCAGCTGGCACCTATAGGAATCAAACCCACCTCCTTGGCGTCACCCTTTCTCCTCCTGCCGTTTACTCAGTTTGGTTTGCTCTGTGGTCTCCTTGGGAAATACCCTTCCTCCAGGGGAGTGGCTTTCCAAAGCGGACTTTGATTTTTTATCTTTTTCTGCACACACATACACTGCCGATTAGAAATCAAGGCAGCCTTGACCTTGGTGAGACCTCCAGTGCAAGAGGCAATCTATCTAGATTCCATCATCATCATGACTATTATTATTTAGAAGACATTTTATTATTGTTATTATTATTATTATTATTATTATTATTATTAGCCTGGAAAGGTGCCTTCTGCTGTACCTGAGGAACCAAGTGCTTCCTCCCCACAGTCCCTGGTCCAAGAGCCCAGAGGAGGCAGCAGGTGGGAGGCCATGGAGGGTCCACCTTCAGACCTTGGGCAAAGTTGCCTGAGGGCAGAGACTCAAGAAGGCTCAGTTTGGAGCAAGTGGCTGCCTTGAAGCTGCTATAAGTGAGTATCCAGTAAATCACCAAGCTAGACTGGCAATGGCGGCACTTGCCCTTCTTCTGATAGGAAGCGTTTTGTGAGGGGATGAGGGGTCAAGGAGGGTCAGTTGTGGTGGAGTGAGAAATGTCCCTATTTTCACCTGAGGAATGTTGGAGGGTATGAGATGGTGCATTGGCCTGATCCAGCAGACTCTTCTTATGTTCTTTTTTTTTTAATAATTTTTATTAACCGACCAATCAAATCAAATCAAATCACATCTCATAAATTCCGAATTACAAAGCCGAATTTTAAATTTTGTTGAGGGGACCCATATTTCAAGATCCGAAGGGGGATTCTGATCATCTTCTTGCTACTGCGTTAATGTCCAAATCAGTCCAAACAAAGTTCATAATTCTATCCAGTCTTATCTTGCTGTTTCCACATCTCATCTTGTTCGTATATTTTCTCTTTTTTCTTTATGATCTCTTCTGATAATCTCCTTAAGCCGATAAGCACCAATAATAATCCTGTGTGAATTTTTCCGTTCGTCCAATCCTTATTCGAGATGGTTTCCATATATCATCGCATTCATAGATAACATCGCTCTTTCCATCATTAATCACAGAACTGTCGTTCTTAAGTCCCTCTGAGGAGTTTCACCCACAATATAAAAACAGCTCTATTCCTCTATTTCTCCTCCCAGACTTAAGTCCTCCGACAGAACTTCCCAATATGGTGACAGTATTTTTAACTGCGTCATTCCAAAGCCCTTATACATTCCACGCTCTTCTTAAAGCATGCTTTGGTTAGAAAGTTTATCTCCACACAGACATAAATCCACAGCTTAAGTCCTTCAAACGACATTTCTGACTTGTGGGGGGGGGGGAATTCTTGTTTAATCACATAGAGGAAAGAAAGGAAAGTTTTTTCCCCCTCCCCCATCCAGTCCTTTTGCCATACCGAGTCTTGGTGTATCTTCATCTGGTTAATTCTTGTTCCTCCGACTCGTCTTGTTTATCAGAGATCTCTTCTGTTAGCAGTATTTACTCCCCCTCCTTCCTTGAAATATGTGCATTCGCTTCCTCCTAATTGTTTCTTTTGAAGTTCTTGCAGCTAGTGGCACGGATCAGAGACAGCGTCCAGGAACGCCAAGATCCCACAGGAGGGCATTCTGCCTAGTGCCCCCATCCCCACAAATTCGGGGGTGGTATAGGGCACAGCAGGCAAGGGCAGCCCCCCCCCCCACAATCCTGGGGGGGTAGGGAGGCTATTTACTCCCATCACAGCCTCCTAATTACCTCGTGTGGGTCGGAGAGATGTTATTGTCAGCCATCTTCTGATGCGCCCCTAGTGGCCCCTCGACTCTTCTTATGTTCTTAGGGGTGTGAGGCTTGTCAGCCCCAGACACTGTTCAGCTCTGTTCCCACCTCACCTGGAAGCTCATTTTGTGTTTTTATATTGTGACTTTATCCTGTGAACTGTCCTGAGACTTGAGGTACAGGGTGGTTTGCAAAGAAGAAGAAGAAGAAGGTGGTGGTGCTATTTTTTCTAGAAAAAGAGGTGTCAGAACTCACCATGAACACCTCCCTCATTCTCTCAGAATGGCAATGGCACCTACCTGAGAGGAACTCACTGAGTTCTGGCTGAAAAGAAGCCCTGATAATAATTCACCCAAACCATTTCAGAATAGTGCTATTGGTCAGACATAGATATTACGGGTCACTTTGCAGCTGTGCTGCTTTTACATATTGTTACGATGTGTTTATTCATCCCCCCCCCCCTTTGTACACTGCTTGGGTTTTTCAAACTATATTAAAGTTGTGGTCCTGTTAAGCCATGACTCCTACATTGGACCAGATGACCCTCTGCGTCCCTTCCAACTCTTGTTGTTGTTTAGTCGTTTAGTCGTGTCCGACTCTTCGTGACCTCATGGACCAGAGCACGCCAGGCACTTCTGTCTTCCACTGCCTCCTGCAGTTTGGTCAAAGTCATGCTGGTAGCTTTGAGAACACTGTCCCACCATCTCGTCCTCTGTCGTCCCCTTCTCCTTGTGCCCTCCATCTTTCCCAACATCAGGGTCTTTTCCAGGGAGTCTTCTCTTCTCATGAGGTGGCCAAAGTATTGGCACCTCAGCTTCAGGATCTGTCCTTCCAGTGAGCACTCAGGGCTGATTTCCTTCAGAATGGAGAGGTTTGATCTTCTTGCAGTCTACCCTCCGATAATTCTGTGATCAGAAGCTAATGTTTCCGCCTGGTTTTTCCCTCTCTCCCCTTTGGGATGGGACTGAAGCTCAGTGGGCAAAATACCTCCCCTGAAGTCTACTGCCAGCCAGTGCCGACAATATTGGGCAAGGTGTAGCAATGATCTGACACTTCCTATATTTAAGAGCCTTGCTGTCTATGATGTGTTCACAGAAACCTTCTTGTTGCTTGACTCACTCCTCCTCCTGCTCTGCTTTCATTTTATTGCCTCTGCCAGGTCAGATAACATCTTCTGTTCCTCCCTCTCCTGGGAGGAGCCATCGCTCACTCCCTGTTCTTGGCTGAAGGAGTCCTGGCAGGCAGGCGTAGGATCTGGCCCTGGGGCTTTCCTCCATGCATGACACGTCAGTTTGGATGTGCATGCTAGAGAGAGGCGTCCCCACCAACCACAGGCTGACTTAGCACCCAGCCTCCCTCCTGTGACACACGTGGTGGGAAGCTGAGAGAAGAAGGGAAGACCCCACATGGTGTGTCCATGCCCCTGTGGCAAGCAGAGATCACTGTCTGCTTCCTGGGACAGGTGGACACCTACGTAGATTGGCAGTTACCTTGCTTGGTTTGTCCCTTTTTATTGATGCTGTCCAGACCTCTGTCCCTTATTCCTTCACCACCTTCTTCGGGAATCCCCCACTGAACCTGTTTTCTGAGATATAAGTGAGTCGTGGGCTGGGCAGTAGACTTACCGTAGCTTGTTCACCCTGTGGTGGGGTGGCCTTCTCCTCGTGGGGCTCCTTGCTCTTTGGGGTCAACTGACACCTGCCTCCAGCCAGTATCCAGGTAAGCACTTTCTCCTCCTTCTCCCAGTTCAGCTCTGTTCCCACCTCACCTGGAACCTCTTCTTCTCATGAAAACAGCCCAAGTGGGCAATGACAGCCACTCTGGAGAGGGGAATACACCTGCCTCCTGCAGCCAAGGGGCCCTTTTCCCTTTAGCATGGCTGATGCCCTCTTTCTGAATGCCCCAGGCACAAGCCCACCCAGACTCAAGGCTGGCATTGGGTCTCCTGGGTTTTGGCTGCACTTCCCCTGGCACTTGGAAGCGCCTGGAGGCAGCTCCTCATTTCTGTGATCCTTTGCATTTTGATAACAGAAGAGGCACGCCTAGGACAGAGTCATCGCCTGCCTACGAATGGGGTGCTGGCTTGGAAAGGTTCATCTCCGGTCACTCAGATACTCCAGCCTTTCCCAACCAATCCATTCCTTTCTGCTTTCTGTTTGTTCTGGGTGGAGCTGAGAGATTTCCAAATGTGCTGTCAGTTCCTTCTGCATGGGATATAAAGCCTTCTGGGTGCAGGCAGGGGACTCAGACCTGCTTCGCCATGAAGTCCATCGGCCTCTGCCTGGTTGCGCTCCTTGCCTTCTGGGGTGAGCTGGCTCCTGTGTCTGGTCAGATGCCTCTAGGTGAGTGTCTCCTTGGACTCCCTTGTCCCAATCTCCATCTTTCTAAGCCCCCGTGGGAAACACTCTCTAAGGCAGCCTCCCTCTGAATTGGCCACAATTCTCATGAGCCTCTGCATCTTCTGGTTGTGCTGACTTGGGGCTCCTGTACGAAACCCTGAATGGGTAGTTGAAAGAGTCCTCATTGCCAGGAAACCACCGTCTCCTGTTCCATAGCTTCCCCTTCCCTATAGATCCTGCTGTCAGTGGCAAGACGGATCAGACTTGAGGTGGGTGAAATGATCTTATGGGCCGATGATCTTATGTTTTCAGAATTTAAAAAAGAACTTTATGTTCGCAAGAGCAGGCCTTTTCTGCAGTGGCTCCCTGTTTGTGGAATGCTTTCCCCAGGGAGATTTGCCTGGTACCTTCATTCAGGGACGCGGACTTATAAAAAATATTGGGGGGGCCCGGGAAAGCTCATGAATAATAAATAAGCTCATGAATATGCAAATAAAGTGGCAAATAAAGTGGCTCCGGCCCTAAATAGGGCAAGCCACGCCCCCCCAGCCAGCCAATCGGCTGGCTGGGAGGTGTGGCCAGTCGGGATTCCCCTGTTCTCGTGGGGGCCAGGAGGAAGGAAATTCCCCCCGGCAGTGCCTTGGCAGTGGCGGTGGTGCTGCGAAGCAGCGAGACAGGAGCCCCCGCCCCCGGGGATTCCCTAATCTCGCGGGGGACGGCCGGGGCTCTCCGACTAGGGCGCGCGGCTGGCTGGCTGGCTGGCGAGGGAGCAGGTGGGGAGGAGGCGGGGGACGGCGGCGGCGCTCTGCTGGAAGGGCGCCTGAGAAAAATTTTTTGAGGGGGCTCGAGCCCCCTCAGGCCCCATGGAGTCGGCGCCTATGCCTTCATTATAAACCATTAGGCACCAGGCAAAAACATTCCTCACTAACCAGGCCTTTAGCTGACTGTCCTCCCAATGCCCTTTTAAAACGCCTTGGGGGTGGTTTATTGGGTTGGCGTTTATTGGGGGGTTGTTTGATTGTGTATTTTGTGTTTTTATATTGTGACTTTATCCTGTGAACTGCCCTGAGACTTGAGGTATAGGGTGGTTTGCAAAGAAGAAGAAGAAGAATTGCTATTTTTCTAGAAAAAGAGGTGTCAGAACTCACCATGAACACCTCCCTCATTCTCTAAGAGTGGCAATGGCACCTACCTGAGAGGAACTCACTGAGTTCTGGCTGAAAAGAAGCCCTGATAACAATAATTCACTCAAACCATTTCAGAATAGTGCTATTGTGGGGTTGTATTTTTATGCTGCTTTTACATATTGTTACGATGTGTTTATTCATTCCCCCCCCCCTTTGTACATTGTTTGGGTTTTTCAAACTGCATTAAAGTTGTGGTCCTGTTTAGCCATGACTCCTGCGTTGGACCAGATGACCCTCTTCATCCCTTCCAACTCTACCCTCTGATAATTCTGTGATCAGAAGCTAATAGTTTCCGCCTGGTCTTTCCCCCTCTCTCCCCTTTGGGATGGGGCTGAAGCTCAGTGGGCAGAATGCCTCCCCTGAAGTCTACTGCCAGGCAGTGCCGACAATATTGGGCAAGGTGTAGCAATGATCTGACACTTCCTCTATTTAAGAGCCCCGCTGTCTATGATGTGTTCACAGAAACCTTCTTGTTGCTTGACTCACTCCTCCTGCTGCTCTGCTTTCATTTTATTGCTGTTTTCCTGCTGCCTCTCTTCTAACGGTGAAGCTAGCATGAGCCTTCGTAGGATCATAGGAACACAGAATGGGAGAGTTGGGAGAGACCACCAGGGCACCTTGCAATGCAGGAATATTTTGCCCAACGTGGGGCTCAAACCCATGACCCTGAAGTCAAGAGTCTCACAGTCTTCCACCTGAGCTACCTTGCCTCTGCCAGGTCAGATAACATCTTCTGTTCCTCCCTCTCCTGGGAGGAGCCATCGCTCACTCCCTGTTCTTGGCTGAAGGAGTCCTGGCAGGCAGGCGTAGGATCTGGCCCTGGGGCTTTCCTCCATGCGTGACACTTCAGTTTGGATGTGCATGCTAGAGAGAGGTGTCCCCACCAACCACAGCCTGACTCAACACTCAGTCTCCCTCTGCTCCTGTGAGACACGTGGTGGGAAGCTGAGAGGAGGAGGGAAGACCCCACATGGTGTGTCCATGCCCCTGTGGCAAGCTGGGCTCCCTTTCTGCTTCCTGGGACAGGGGGACACCTACGTAGATTGGCAGGATTTATTGATTCGGCTACCTGGCTTGGGTTCTCCCTTTTCACTGATGCTGCTGCATTTTCACCTATTTCTTTGTATCTGAATTTGTACTGGTTGTTTGTTGAATAAAACATTTCACAGTGGTTTACAGCAATATAAAGACATAAAACCAGGCAATAAAATAATTATCCTCTGAATAAACAATCTCTCAAAGGACCTGTTGATGGCATTTGGCCATTGCACTGTGGAGGGTGCATTAACTTTTGGTCTGTGTATGTGGTTTGGGAGCTGCACGGTCAGGGGAAAAACCAAAGCTGTCCAGGGTTGTAAAGACTGCGGAGAGAATAATTGGGCGCACTCTTCCCACCTTGGATCAAATCTATGCTTCCAGGTGCCATAAGAAAGCGGCAGAGATAGCACAGGATAGTGCGCACCCCGGAAATGATCCCTTTCAGCTACTGCCTTCTGGAAGAAGGGCCAGGGTTATAAAGACTAGGACTAGGATGGGGTATCAGAGTTCTTAGGGGGTTAACCAGGCTGGGATAGCTGGGAAATCAGGCTTGTTGGTTTTTGAATGTCTAGTGTAGATTTTTTTTCAATTTTGTTGATTTGTATGTGACAATGACAATAAAGATTATCGTATCGTATCATAAAAAATAAAAATTAAAAACAAAAACCAAATTAGAAACAAACACCAGCAGACCATTGTGGGGAATATATTCTCAATTTCCTGCACAGGCCTGGAAGAATAGAGAAGTTTTCAGCAGGTGTTTAGATGTTGGCACAGAAGGCTCCTGCTGAGTCTCCAGTGGCAGGGAGTTCCACAGGAGTGGGCCAATGACAACTTGGTTGTTGTCAAAGAAGCCTCAGCAACCCAAGAAATGACCAAAGATGCTCCTGCTGATGATCTCAGTGATTGAGCTGGAATATCAGGGTTCAGGTGATCCCCGGGCTCTCCTGGACCCAAGTTGTTCAGGGCTTTGTAAATCAATGCCAGGACCTGAAACCTGACTCAGTAGCAGATGACACCTCCATGGTGCAGCTTCGGAAGGAGGTCGAAGAAGCATCTCTTTCCCCTGGCTTTCGATGCTTCAGGCGTATGCTTTGCAGACCCACCTGAATTTTAAGATTATCAATGGTTAGTAATTCATTTTAGTCCACCCATTAGTGATTTTGAATTCTGGTGCTGGAGGAGACTCTTGAGAGTCCCATGGACTGCAAGAAGATCAAACCTCTCCATTCTTTAGGAAATCAGCCCTGGGTGCTGACTGGAAGGACAGATCCTGAAGCTGAGGCTCCAAGACTTTGGCCACCTCATGAGAAGAGAAGACTCCCTGGAAAAGACCCTGATGTTGGGAAAGGTGGAGGGCACAAGGAGAAGGGGACGACAGAGGATGAGATGGTAGGACAGTGTTCTCGAAGCTACCAGCATGAGTTTGACCAAACTGCGGGAGGCAGTGGAAGACAGGAGTGCCTGGCGTGCTCTGGTCACGAAGAGTCGGAAACGACTAAACAACAACAACAATCCATTTTAGTAATGGCTTAGTAATCCATCTCTCTCTCTCTCTCTCTCTCTCTCTCTCTCTCTCTCTCTCTCTTTCTCTCTTTCTCCATCACAGGGAAGCCTGGCACCTGTCCTACTCTGATCCAAAACAATGACACCCAGTGTGGCCAGTTCTGCTCCACAGATGACAGCTGTCCAGGGAGCGAGCGCTGCTGCCAGACTGCCTGTGGGCATCAGTGCATGCTCCCACGTGAGGGTAAGCAGCAGCCCCTCTTTCTGGGGGGAGAAATGAAGTTGCGAACCTCCCATCTGCCTCACCTTCTGACCCAGATGTGCTCTTGACCACCCATCCATACACACAAGGGGGTTAGGTGTCTATTTGGGTGGAAAACTCAGGCAGGCATCCCCTTTGGGTGACCTGTTTGGCCACTGCGAGAAGAGGATGCTGGACTAGGTGGGCCATTGGCCTGATCCAGCAGGCCCTTCTTAGCTTCTTACATTCTAGTTTCATCCCCAGACCAGCCCGGCTCCTGCCCCAGGCTGAGCCCCCAGCCAGACCAGGCTGCGAACTGCTCAACGACTTGCAACAACGACCAGGACTGTGGCTCAGGACTCTACTTGCCAATCCAGAAGTGCTGCAGCAACGGGTGTGGACAGACTTGCCAGGTGGCTGAAGAAGGTATTTCTTGGGTGGGGAAAGAGATGGGGACCTGATTGTGGGGGGAGCAGTTGAGTGCTTGTGGGTGGGAGAACCAGTATTAAATTCTGCCCAGGAAGAGATGTTGGGGCTCAAGCCCACTTGGCTGCCGCTCACGCAGTCTCCACTCCCTAATGCCAAGCTATATGGTGTTCCAGGAGAGAGTCCTGGCATACCAAACACAATTCCAGGGCTTTTCTTGGTGGCATGGGCCACCTAGCGCATTTCAGAAATATCCAGAGATATGCATATGAAGCTGTAAACACAGGAGTTCATTAGGAGAAAGGACGTCTTCACACAGCAGCACATAGTTGAGCTATGGAACTCACTCCCACAGGAGGCAATGGCAGCCACCAACCTGGGACTCAGCTCTACAGCTGCAAATAAAACATTTTCAGTGTGTTGTAAAGTGCATTATACAAATGTAACACTAGGTGGTGGTGGTGAGCTATGGCAAATTCCATATATTTTTCAAAACTGTTTTTCAAAAAGCACTTTCACAACCTTTCTTATACGTGTCTAGATTCCACACTAGATGGCTTTAGAAGGCAGATTCATGGAGGAGGAGAGGGTTCTCAGTGACTTTTGGCAGGATGGCTCTGTTTGCCTCCACGGTTGGAGGCAGCGATGCTTCTGAAGGCCAGCTGCTGGAAACCCCAGGAGGGCAGAGGGCTCATGCTTGGGTCCTTCTTGTGGGCTTCCCATTGAAGCTTCCAGTTGGCCCCTGGAGAAAATGGGCCATTGGCCTGATCCAGAAGGCTCTTCTTGTGTTTTTATGGAGTGGGTGGGTGAGCAGGGAAAGTCAGAGAACCTGGACTTAAGGGGGGTGATGTTGCACAGCCCAGCATGGAGGGACTTAGTAGGGCCACCCTTGGGCTTTCCTGTCCAGAGGTAAAGCTGGACACATGCCTCTGTCAAGTAGGAAGGGCTACAAAGGGTCATCTAGTTAGCTCCCGCTTGGACTACTGCAACGCGCTCTATGTGGGGCTACCTTTGAAGGTGACCCGGAAACTGCAACTAATCCAGAATGCGGCACCTAGACTGGTGACTGGGAGCGGCCGCCGAGACCACATAACACCGGTCTTGAAAGACCTACATTGGCTCCCAGTACGCTTCAGAGTACAATTCAAAGTGTTGGTCCTGACCTTGAAAGCCCTAAACGGCCTCGGTCCAGCATACCTGAAGGAGCATCTCCACCCCCATCGTTCTGCCCGGACACTGAGGTCCCGTGCTGAGGGCCTTCTTGCGGTTCCCTCCCTGTGAGAAGCCAGGTTACAGGGAACCAGGCAGAGGGCCTTCTCGGTGGTGGCGCCTGCCCTGTGGAACACCCTTCCACCAGATGTGAAGGAAATAAGCAGCTATCTTATCTTTAAAAGACATCTGAAGGCAGCCCTGTTTAGGGAAGTTTTTAATATTTAATGCTGTGTTGTTTTTAACACTCGATTGGGAGCTGCCCAGAGTGGCTGGGGAAACTCAGCCAGATGGGCAGGGTATAAATAAATTATTATTATTATTATTATTATTATTATTATTATTATTATTATTATTAGTCCCACCCCCAATCTCCCCATCTCTTTTTTTCCAGAGCACCCTGGCGTGTGCCCCAAAGTGGAACTGGTGCGCACCTTTGCCCCCTGCAATGACACCTGCAGAGACGACCGAGACTGCCCTCTCACCCAGAAGTGCTGCTTCACCGGGTGCAGCCGGGGCTGCCTGGACTCAGGTACTGGCAAAGCCCCTGACCCCTTCTCCCCCCACCCTCTCTTCTCTGGGCAACTGGTGGAGGCAGCAGCCGCAGTGCCAACTTAAGTGCCCTGGAGCCTGAGAAGTTCCCCTCATGGACCTCCATTCATTCTGCCTCCAACAGTTCACAGTGACAGATGCCAGTTGCTGCCTGAAGATGGAATATGCAGCGCACACTTGATACGTTACTACTACAACCCGTCACAGAAGAAGTGCAACCAGTTCATCTACGGTGGCTGCTCGGGCAACCGCAACATGTTTGAGACAAAGGAGGCCTGCGAGGAAGCCTGCGGGAAAATCAGCCCAGGTACTGAAAGTGGGACCCACCAGAAATTCATTTTATTGGCTTCGTTGATTGTGTTTATCACCCACCTTCATTTCCGTGGAGCTCACGGCTGCATGCGTCGTTCTCTCCCTTCCTCCTTTAATCCCCACAACAACAACACTGTGAGGGAGGCTAAGAGAGGAAGCCACTGGCCCAAGTCACCCAATGAGCTTCGTCATGTTTTGAAATTGAGGTTTTACGGGATTGGTGTGTTTTTGCAGACCTCGGAAGGAGAGCTTTGGGCGGGAGCTTTGGCAAAGGGTTGAGAGGCAAGAGGGCTGCAGAGATCTGAACCAGCTGCCACAAGCAGGTCCCTCAAATTCAGTCCCTGAGCTGGACTCGCCCAAATAGCCCAAGGCACAATTCCGCTCTGCCTGGAAAGAGAAGGCTCCATGACTCCTTCCCCATTTATGGAGGGGCTTTGCATTATTCCTATGGAGGAATGCATGCAGGGAACATGAAGTTGGAATTAAAAACTCTTGACACCTTCCTGCCCTAAGAAAACCTCTCTGCTTCCTCTTTCTCCCCCTTCTGTGGCCTCAGAGGTCTGCAAGCTGCCAAAGGACCCTGGCCCATGTCTGGGTTATTCACAATTTTACTACTACAACTCAGCCACCAGGAAGTGCGAGATATTCGTCTATGGGCTCTGCGGGGGGAATGGAAATCGGTTTCGTACCATGCTGGAGTGCATGATGGTCTGCGGGAACTTAGGTAAGATTCATTCTCTCTGTGTGTGTGTGTGTGGTGGGCAGGGAGCAGACTGTGGGGCTCCACAGGCGTCTATCTCAGCTGGGCTGCTGGCACCATCCTGTCCTATGCATGGGCGAACTTAAGGATGGTGGATCTCCCCCATATCACCAATGGAGGGAGGGGGGCTTGAGGAGCTTCAAGAGGAGCCAGACTTGAAGCACATGGGATGGGGGACATCTGGCTTGACCGCAGTACATGTGAAAAGGAAACAGGGGCCCTAATAGACCACAAGCTTAGCATGAGTCAAAAGAGTGATGCAACAGCAAAGAAAGCTCATGCAATCCTATGATGCCTCACCAGAAGTCTATTGTCCAGATCAAGGGAAGTCATAGTATTGCTCTAGGCTCACTTGGAGTTGTGTGTTGAGTTCTGGGCACCTCAGTTTCAGAAGGATAGTGACAAGCTGGAAGGTGTGCAGAGGAAGGCGGCCAAGATGATCGAGGGTCTGCAAACCAAGCCTCACGAGAAACAGTTGGGGGAGTTGGGAATGTTTAGCCTGGGAAAGAGGAGACTGAGAGGAGATATGATAGACATCTTCAAAAACCTAAAGGGTTGTCAAATGGGGGATGGAGCAAGCCTGTTTTCTCCTGCTCTTGAGGGTGGGACTCATAGCTGTCAGCGTTTCCCTTTGTTAAGGGAAATTCCCTTATTCCGAATAGGATTCCTTGCAAGAAAAGGGAAAAGTTGACAGCTATGGTAGGACTCCAACCAAGGTCTGCAACTTACAGGAAAGGAAATTACAACTAAACATCAGGAAGAACCTTCTGAAAGTAAGAGTCATTCAACAGTGGAAGATGGCGAACTTTCCTTCCTTGGAGGTTTATAAGCAGAGGTTAGATGACCATCTGTCATGGATGCTTTAAATGAGATTCCTTCTTGCAGGGGGTTGGACTAGATGGCCCTTGGGGGTCCATTTCAACTCTACAATTCTATTATTCTATCATTGCTGCTGCCTGCCCTAGGGGGCACATGCCCAATTACTTGGCTGACTCTTTTTCTTTTCTTCCCCCAGAAAACCCCACTAAGGAGGACTGAGTCCCTCAACGTGATCACCTTGTCTGAGAAGAGCCCAACCCCAGAGCAGACATCAGTGTGTTGCCATGCCCCCCTCCTTCTATCTCTGGGGAGGCTGATGTGGGATCATCTAACCCCAAATAAAACCTGAGCTTTCTGGCATGTGCTGAGTCTGGTTCTTGCATCGCATGACATGAGGCCTCAAGAGGAGCCCCACATCTGCTGCTGCCCCACTGGGGGGGGAAAGCATCTCTCAAAGCTGAATTGAAGAGGATAATCAGTGGTTCTCAAACCTTTTTGGGTCACTGCCCCCTTGGTTCCATAAACTCATCCCCAGTGAGTTTACCCTGTGAAAAGGAGCATTCAGAGTAGTGGTTTGAACCAACCCCATAAAGAAAATAATAACACTGTGAGGTTCACATTACAAAGCCAGAGCCAGGAGGGTCCTTCCACTGAACCTGGGAACCAAGTGCTTCCCACAGCCCCTCACTGGCCAAATGCCCAGAGGGGGCAGCAGGTGGGAAGGCATGGAGGGCCCACCTTCAGGTGGGAGGGTTGGACTGTTCAAGGGGGCAGAACTCGGAATAATCTGCTGGGGGGCAGAGACTCAAGAATGCTCAGTTTGGCTGCTGGAGCAAGTGGCTGCCTTGGAGCTGCCAGAGTTTCTACAAGACCCAACCTGAGGCAACCAACCACACTGCCCAGGAGCTGCACTTGGGTTGGGGAGAAGATCCAGTGGCCAGTCATTCCAGCCCTACACTGCCTGCCCTTGTGGTCCTCCGTTCTGCACTTGGGAATCCTGGAATGCTGAGCAGGCCAGACGGGGTGGCAGAAGGATTTGGTGGGAGCAGACTTCATTCCACCAGTCAGCAGATCCCAGGCCTGCCTGTCTTGTTCTGCCCGGGGAGCCTTTCCCCGAAATGGGTCTTGCCAGCTGGGAAGTGGAGGTGCCTTTTCTCAGAAGAACGCTCTTCCCATCAATGGTCTTCCTCCTCCTTGGGAAAACAAAGCACATTCGTTTCACAGAATCATAGACTTGCTGAGTTGGAAGGGATCCAAAGCGTTATCTTGTCCAACCCCTTGAAATTATTATTAATTGTGGCCGGAATGCCCCAGAGCCAGCTGCTTCTGTCCCTTTAGTCATCCACCCCCATGGATTGGGACCATGAAGTCAGAGGAATTGGGACCATGAAGTCAGAGCTGCTATTGGAACAATATTGGAAAATAAATAAAAAATATTTATTACTTCAGACGTAGCCGAAGAAACCTTTTTTTATTATTTTTAACCACTGATCCTGAGCTTATTCTGAATTTTAGCCCACCTGACCTTCAACCTACAACTGTTGGCTACTTGTGTCTACTCCTCCTTTGTGATTTCCCCTTTCTTCCATTTCTCATACATGCCCTTCTTAGCTCATCTGCAAGCTCCTTATGCAGCCACACCAGTTTCCTTAGATGCCCCCCACTTTCCTTTCTTGTTAGTATTGTCTGCCTTCAATATTTCTCCTTTTAGAAACTCCCATCCTTCTTGGACTCCCTTCTCACTGAATATTTCTGACCATGGGGTCTCAACCAGTAGCTCCTTCAGTTTTTTGAAATTGGCCTTCTTAAAGTCCAGGGTGCAAGTCCTTCATGGAGAAGTTCCCAGAGAAGGCTGTGCTAGTGGCAGCTGCAAGCATTCTTGAATGATGCCGAATATTTGGACCCATTCCAACCTGGGTTCAGGCCTGATGCATGACCTCTGCAGAGAGCAGGACAGGGGGAACCATAAAAAGTAGGGTTGGAAAGGACCCTGAGGGTCATCTATTCCAACCCCCTGTAATGCAGAAATGCTACCTTGCTCCTGCTTCTAGATCTCTCTTTGGCTTTTGTTTCCATTGACCACGTGGAACAGTTCTAGGGGTCTTAATAGCTCACAAACTTAACATGAGTCAACACTGTGACGCAGGAAGGGGAAAAGGCTAATGCTATTCTAAGCTGCATCAGCAGAAGCGCACTATCCAAAGAGTTTTGGGAAATGCTTCTTTGTTGCACAAGATAAGAATGGAAAAGTGCCAGGAGGGCTCTAACTACAGAGCTTCCTGGCACACCTGAGCACAGGTAGAGCCAGCTGATAAGAGCTGCCACGTCCTCTGCTTGAGCCAGACTTGCTGCCTCCATCCTTAAGGTGCCATGAATCACCCTTAGGGACCATTCTTCCCTCGGGGAAGGCTGGAGGCTGAGGAAGGCGTGAAGGTGTATCCCATCTGGGGATCTGGATGGGAGGGGCTCTTGCAGGCTCACAGGTGTATCATAAGGAAACCTGGGGGAGCAGAGGAGGAACTGCTCTCCAGACAGCTCTCTAGGTGGAGAGTAATAGAAAGCAGAGTTCATCGAAAACCGGTATTGAGACTTGTGCTTTTCAACTTTTTCACAAACAATCCAAAGATGGGATGAGCAGTGAGGTGGCCAAGATTGCTGAGGATACTAAATAGTTCAGGTTGCTTTAGCTGCTTTGTGATCGTTTGTTGCAAAACCTTCTTAGAAAGAAAAGAATGTCCTCTCTGTCCCACTTCCTGTCCTGACCTCTGTTTCTTCTTCCTTCACCTCCTTCTTTGGGAATTCCCCAGAGAACCTGTTTTCTGAGATATAAGTGAGTCATGGGCTGGCCAGTAGACCTAGCTTGTTCACCATGTGGTGGAGTGGCCTTCTCCTCGTGGGGCTCCTTGCTCTTTGGGGTCAACTGATGTGGGATGTAAACACAGGAGCAGTCAATGACAACATTCCTAGAGTGTACATGTTACAACATGGGGAGGGATGTCTGTCCAGCAAGCAGGTAAACTTCCTGGGGACGGACTTCCTCCACATGTGACTAGAGGTGGGTGTGGCCTCACCTGTGCAGGTGATGACAAAAAAAAAGCACAGGGCAGGCAGCCATCTCTCTCTCTCTGCCATTTTCCTTCGACGAGGAAACACCTAAGGATGCCCTCTTGGCTCCCAGCCAAGAGAGGAGATAAGGCCTATCTTGCTATGAGATAGATTCTAAATCTATGTAACCTTTTTAAGCTGTGCCTTCTGGGATCACATTGTGAACAGGACGTGAGTAAACTCTTTTATACTTTTATGAAGACTGTGTCGTGTCTTGTATTTTAAGAGGGAACTAAAGGGGAAATTACCAGGGTAATTATTATAGAGGTTCTAGCGAACCTGTGCACACGTTACCGTTGCGTACTAAAGGGGAATGTATGTAAACTCTGCTGATATTTTGGGAACTTGTTAGCACAAGTTGGATCAGGATATAATTAGTCAATATATCCTTTCCTGCACCCCAGAACATTCCCACAACTGACACCTGCCTCCAGCCACCCTCTAGGTAAGCACTTTCTCCTCCTTCTCCCAGTTCCACAGAACCCTTTCCCTTTCACAGAAAGTTTGCTGACCCATCTATGCATGCCTCCCCATTCGGAAAACTGCCCATTTATTTAGCTTCCTACAACTTAACCAGTTCAAGATCCACAAGAGGACCTCTCCTCTTACTCCTTGACTGCTCGGCTTACTCAGGAATCTTTGAAGTGGAACCATAGGATCATAGAGTTGGAAGGGATCCCAACGGTCTACAGTTGTGTAATTCTATTGTTGTAGATGAGGGCCCTGACTTGGCATGTGTTACGAAGACCTGGGTAGATGAGCTGGGAAGGGGATTGCTCTCACTCAGCTCTGTCCACCTGGGTGTCCAATAAAGCACCAAGTTAGGCTGGAGCACTGAAGAAGGAGAGAGTTAGGTCTATTGGTCCTGTGCTGGACCCGGGGGGGGGGTTACCGAGAGGGGTGGTCAGAGTCCTGTCCTGGGTCGAGGGTCTGGAGACTGTCCACCAAGGGTGAAGCAAGAAGAGACTGTCCACCAAGGTCCAAAGCAAGAAGCCGGGCGTGGTCGGGAACTCCGGAAGAACAGGTTTCCAACAACGTTGCTCCCGCAACCTGGGACTGGGCTGACTGGCCTTTATCTCCTCTGAGGACAGGGGCTGTCCTGGCCCACAGGTGACCCGCCTCTCCTGGCCTTAAGGTGAGCACTCCTGAGAGAACCCAGTCGGTCACGACTGGACCTAATGGTCAGGAGCCCCTTTACCTTTTACCCCCTTCACACCCAATCTCTGGTGTGGCAGCTTTGGCAAGCTCCTCAAGGGGTGCCCAGGTTGGGGAAAGGACACTTTCCCCTCAAAGTCCTTTCTCCAGCCTCTGTCTTCTCCTCCACCAGTGGCTTTACAATCCCACAGCTGGGCTTGCTTTTGCAGGGAACTCTTCCACTAAATTGTGCAGGGAACTCTTCCAAAATTTATCTTCGAAATTGGAGGCTTTTTAGCAGAAGACATCTTTCAGGGATTTGTTAGTTCTGATTTCTGCATTGGAGGCAGTTGGACTAGAGGCCCCTTGGGGGTCCCTTCCAACTCTACTGTGCTGGTCCCATGGGTTACCCGAGAGGCGAGGTCCAATTCCGGTCCATGGTCAAAGGTGCAACATGGAGGCAGTCCGTAGTAGCTGGAGCTGGGTGCAGGGCAGGGAGTCGGGTGAAGTCAGGAACAGGCTTGCAAGCAGGGAGCCAGGGCGGGTCAGGAGCTCTGGCAGAACAGCAGGACAGGGTTCAGGCAGGAACAAGCAACCAACAATGTTGCTCCCACAACTTGGGACTGGGGCTGGCCGGTTTTTAACTGCCCCGAGGCATAGGGCGGCCCCGATCCTCAGGTGACTCACCTCTCCTGGCCTGGAGGCAAGCACTCCTCCTGAGAGAACTTAGTTCCCTCTGCCTCTCTGCCCTGAGCCTCTGCAGCTCAGGAGAGGCTGGAGGGTTACTGGACCCAGGGGCAGCTTCCCCTTCCCCTGACAGGGCTGGGAGAGGCGCACCTGCAGGCAATGGGTCCTCAGTCACCTCCAGAGCCAGAGTGGATACATCTGGTGTCTGCTCCTGAGGAACCGGCACAGGTGCAGGCCCTTCAGATTCAAGCCCCTGCCCCGGCTCAGCTGGCCCTGGAGGTGGGGACTCCTGTGCAGGCTGGGACTCCTCAGGTTCAGCTTCTGAATCAGATTCCCAGGTCCACAGATTTACCATTTTGCTCTCCAGAAAGCCTTTCCAAGTTGGGATGATCTTTGAAGGCCTGACCCAGTGTTTGGCCAAAGAGACTGATGAGGGCTGGAGTTGACCAACCTGGTAAAGGCAGCCTGGCACATGGTGTTGATTGTGCAGGACTTCAATGTTCCTTTAGTGGAGGACACTCTGTGAAGTCCAGCTCCACACGGGGCTGTTTCCAGATGTCACAGACCCAAAACACAAAGTGGCGCATCTTGATTTGTTTTTCGCCTGAGAGTGTGAAAAAGGTGGTCTGAAAACTGGGGTTCATGTGTCATACTAGCCCCATTGTTGTGGTCTGATCATTTCCTGACGAAGTTTGGTCTCACTGTCATGATCCCCCCCTGAAGGGGTGGGAGACCCATTCAGTGTTCCAGAGACTTATGAAATCTGATGGATTCCTGGATTCTCTGGGGAAGGTTCTAGTGGTTCGCCAGAAGCGGCTTGGTCATGCTGGCCACATGACCTGGAAGCTGTACGCTGGCTCCCTCGGCCGATAAAGCGAGATGAGCGCCGTGACCCCAGAGTCGGCCACGACTGGACCTAATGGTCAGGGGTCCCTTTACCTTTACCTTATGCTGCATTAGATGCGCCATTGACCTGATCCAGCGGACTACTTATGTTCTTTGGGGTGTGAGGCTTGTCAGCCCCAGCAGTAACTTTGCTCTGTTCCCACCTCACCTGGAACCTCCTCTTCTCATGAAAGCAGCTCAGGTGGGCAATGACATCCACTCTGGAGAGGGGAATACACCTGCCTCCTGCAGCCAAGGGGCCCTTTACCTTTGGCATGACTGGTGCCCTCTTTCTGTTTTTTGTTTTTTTTTAAAGATATTTATTAGAATTTTACAAAATGAAAAAAGAAAAAAGAAAAATACAAAATAAAAATAGTTAAAAAACAATTCCATCTTTCAATCACTTATCCTTCATTTGCTTATTTCCCGGACCTCCTCACACCTCCCTTTTTTGTATTCCAATTCAATTTACTAGTTCAGCAAATCCTTTCCCTCTTTGTTTATCCTAGTCTTTAATCTTAAAAATATTGTAACCTTAAATTTTACCTATTAATAATCCATTTTTTCATATTCCTTATATCGTTATAGCTAAAAACCACTTAACTTTTTATCCAACATCATTCTAACATTCATTAATTTTACAATATTTCTGTAGATAGTCTTTAAATTTCTTCCAAACTTCTTCCACCGACTCTTCTCCCTGGTCTCGGATTCTGCCGGTTATTTCTGCCAGTTCCATATAGTCCATCGCCTTCATCTGACTGATGCCCTCTTTCTGAATGCCCCAGGCACAAGCCCACCCAGACGCAAGGCTGGCATCAGGTCTCCTGGGTTTTGGCTGCACTTCCCCTGGCACTTGGAAGCGCCTGGAGGCAGCTCCTCATTTCTGCGATCCTTTGCATTTTGATAACAGAAGAGGCACGCCTAGGACAGAGTCATCACTGCCTGCCTACGAATGGGGTGCTGGCTTGGAAAGGTTCATCTCCAGTCACTCAGATTCCCCAGCCTTTCCCAACCAATCCATTCCTTTCTGCTTTCTGTTCGTTCTGGGTGGAGCTGAGAGATTTCCAAATGTGCTGTCAGTTTCTTCTGCATGGGATATAAAGCCTTCTGGGCGCAGGCAGGGGACTCAGACCTGCTTCGCCATGAAGTCCATCGGCCTCTGCCTGGTTGCGCTCCTTGCCTTCTGGGGTGACCTGGCTCCTGTGTCTGGTCAGATGCCTCTAGGTGAGTGTCTCCTTGGACTCCCTTGTCCCAATCTCCATCTTTCTAAGCCCCCATGGGAAACACTCTCTAAGGCAGCCTCCCTCTGAATTGGCCACAATTCTCATGAGCCTCTGCATCTTTTGGCTGTTCTGGCTTGGGGCTGATGGGAGGTGGAGTCTGGTGGGCACCAAGTTGAGAACCCCCTCATGGGTAGCTGAAAGAGTTCTGATTTCCAGCATCCACCAACTGAGCTGGCATTGTATCCTCCTTTCACAACGTCCTCATGAGGGATCCTTCGGCCAAGTTTCTCCCACTCCTTTCTAGCAGGTCAGATAACAGCTTCTGTTTCTCCCTCTCCTGGGAGGAAACATCGCTCTCTCCCTGCTCTTGGGTGAAGGAGTCCTGGCAGGCAGGGATCAGATCTGGCCCTGGGACGTCATGGTTGAAGTTTGGATCTGCTTGCTAGAGGGAGGCATCCCCACCAACCACAGGCTGACTCAGCACCCAGCCTCCCTCCTGTGAGACACGTGGTGGGAAGCTGAGAGGAGGAGGGAAGACCCCACATGGGGTGTCCATGCCCCTGTGGCAAGCTGGGCTCCCTTTCTGCTTCCTGGGACAGGTGGACACCTACGTAGATTGGCAGTTACCTGGCTTGGGTTGTCCCTTTTTATTGATGCTGTTGCATTTTGATCCGTTTCTTTGTATCTGAATCTGTACTGTTTGTTTGTTTGTTTGTTTGTTTGGTTGGTTGGTTGGTTGATAGATTGATTGATAAAACATTTCACAGTGGTTTACATCAATATAAAGACATAAAACCAGGCAATATAATAATTAAAAGTTGAAAAGTTGAAAGCAAAAAAACAAATTAGAAACAAACACCAGCAGACCATTGTGGGGGGAAATATTCTCAATTGACTGTACAGGCCTGGAAGAATAGGAAAGTTTTCAGCAGGTGTTTAGATGTTGGCACAGAAGGCTCCTGCTGAGTCTCTAGTGGCAGGGAGTTCCACAGGAGTGGGCCAATAACAACTTGGTTGTTGTCAAAGAAGCCTCAGCAATCCACGGAATGACCAAGGATGCTCCTGCAGATGATCTCAGTGATCGAGCTGGAATATCAGGGTTCAGGTGATCCCTGAGGGATCCTGGACCCAAGTTGTCCAGGGCTTTGCCAGTAATACAAGGAGCTTGAGCCTGGTTCCACAGCAGATGGCACCTTCATGGCTCAGCTTCCAGAGCTGGTTGAAGAAGCAACTCTTTCACCTGGCTTTTTGGGACTTGAGATGTGTGTTTTTAGGACCCACCTTGTTTTTATGATTGCAAGTTGTTTTAGACTGTTTATAAGACTGTGCTTTAATTTTTCAACCTGTAATTAATCAAGAGGTCATGAACAAACAATAACTATAATTATACCTCTTCTGTGATGGCAAAGTCAGGCTCCTCTGAGATCGAATAAATTACGTTAGAGGTGCAAGGGTGGAAATGTTAGCTCTGTGCAAAGAACTGGAGAGAGCAAGTTTGGGGGTGTGTAGGATCCTCGGCTTGTCATTTCTAGCTGTCCTCCTCACTCAGGCACCTCTGTGGAAAGGTTGCCCACAACCTTTCAGCCGTTGGGACCGTTTGTTACCAAACCTGCTGGGGGAGAAAGAGTTTCCTCTCTGTCCTGCTCACCACTTCCACCCTCCTCCTGAGCTTGCTGTGATTCTGCAATCCTGGGCAATATAAGGAAGGGCAGTGGACTCTCCACTTAGCCTGACCCACCATGAAGTCCGGTGCTCTTGTGATCCTTGTGGGGCTCCTCGCCCTCTGGGCTGAGCTGACATCTGCCTCTGTTCAGAGGCTTCCAGGTAAGGGATCCTGTCTCCTCTCTCCTTACAGGCGCATGTCTCAGAAGCATTTCTCTGGGAATTGTTGAGAGAAGTGCAGTCATGAAAATTCCTTCAGGAAGCTGGGGAAGCTCAGGGGAACAGCACTTGAGTTGCATGCAGAAGGTGTGTGGTTTCATTCCCCACTGGGAATGCCGAAATTCGGTGAGAAGGGGGGCATTCTGCCACTCTGCTGTGCCACTGGACACCTCCCACCAGCCAAGGTGCCACGGGATTCCCCCTCTTGCCAAGGTGTTCCTTATATAATTTGCTCCCCCTCCTGGCAATGAGACTTTGCCAGGGCTTCTATAAATAAATGGGTTGAGTGTGTGTGTGTGTGTGTGTGTGTGTGCGCGCGCGCGCCAGACTGGGTCTTTGACCCGGGTGACAGAAAGCCTACCTTTGGCCCTTTCTTGTGGAGTGTTCCTTCAGCCTCCTCTCCTCTCCCCCCTCATTGGGAGTCCTCCGGACAGCCGCTGCCACTGCCCCAGTCTCTAAGCTGCCCCTCCTGCCCCAAAGAGAGGTGCCTCCCTCCCCACACTGCCCCACAACAGCCTGGGAAGAGGATACACCCAGCCTTAGTGGCCCAACGGAGACTGGTCGAAGGTGAACGTGAGGACAGCACCTTACCTTGGCAGGCAGCAGCAACAGCAGCAGTGGGCACTCAGCTCCCAGGCAGGTCTTGCCCGACAGCACAAGCACAAGAAAGACCAAAGCAGTGACGGCCAGTCGGCCGGCCAGCCTGCCACTTGTCTGTCCATTCCCAACAGCAAGGGCTGGTGGACTGCCTGGCTGGGCTCCCTCACCCACCTGCTTACTCTGAGGCCGCCTCAGTTCCTGGCAACCAGCACCCCCTGGCCAGCCCCATAGGTGCCATTTGCCTGTGGAGCTTATAGCCAGGGCTGCTGCAATAAACGGCTGTGCAAGCCTTTGGGAGGCAGAGATGCAAGAGGGAGGGAAGGAAAGAGAGACAGAGGCCAGTGTTGCCCATCATTCAAGGCACCCCAGGGTGCCACAACACACTGCTTGAAATCCACTGCCCTAAGCCAATGATTCAGCTCTCCTGTTCAGATTTTCAAAGAACAGGGAATCAGAATCTCCTTACTTTTGTGGATGTAACTTGCTTCAAACTGCTTTTAATGTTTTGTTTTAAGGTTGTAATGATTCCTGGGACCTTAGGTTGAAAAGCAGGTAACTAATGAAAAGGGATTCCCAATCCACATTAAGATGAGGCATAGGATGTCCACTAATCCATTGCCTCTGAAATGCCAGTCCTTTTCTGAGACCCCCTCCCCGCTGTGGCCAAGAGGAGCACCCCTTGGGAGCAGCAGACTTGAGGGGTGCAGATTTGGTGCCACCTTCTGGGCTTCTGAGGCAGGGCAGGAGGAACACTTGCCTTTGCAGCCCAGACCCACTTTCAGGTAAGCTGCAGGAGAGACTTAAGGACACACCTTGTACCTAGAAGCAAGCCCCGCCCATCTCCCAGGAAATGATGAAGATATGAACAGGATGCTGGCATAGAGAAGACAATAGCTTGATCCTGCAAGCTGCTCTTACATTCTTTCTTTAAGCGGCAGGAGCTTTCGATTTTCACAGCGGCGAGGAGTTGAAATGCCTTCTTTTCCAGCACCGATTAAGGGCTTAGTAATCCATTTCTCTCTCTTTCCCTCTTTCTCTCTTTCTCCATTACAGAGAAGCCTGGCACCTGTCCTACTCTGATCCAAAACAATGACACCCAGTGCGGCCAGTTCTGCTCCTGGGACAACAGCTGCCCAGGGAGCAAGCGCTGCTGCCAGACCGGCTGTGGGCAACAGTGCATGCTCCCACGTGAGGGTAAGCAGAGGGGCATCAGCCCCTCTTTTTTGGGGAGAATTGAAGTCAGGAACCTCCTATCTGCCTCACCTTCTGACTGAAATGTGCTCTTGATCAGCCACCCATGCAAACAGGATTTTGGTGCATGCCCTGCCTGGATCCATGTAGGCTTTAACGCTGTAGTTCATAGTCAGGCAAGAGGCATTGCAGTGCAGCATCCCACACACCATGGTGTGGCTTGTACAGACATGGCAGGTGACCTCCACCTGGCGCACTGCCAGCAGGGTCCAAGCAACAGGTGGGAGGCAGGCTGTGCACAGCCTCAGTCCAGAGACTCACCTGCTCCCAGGTGTGCAAGCAGGTCAGGTCAGGGGGACCCCATTCATTCCAGGCAAAGAGGAACTGGCTCCTTTCCCTGCAAGTATTAATGTGGGGTTTTTTAAAAGATGAAAACAGACCTATTCATTTATTAAATGTCTATACAGCCCTTCATCCGAAGATCACAGTGCGGTTCAGAAAGACTGACAAAGAACCAAAGACATGCATAAATTCAAAGCTGAATTACCTCAGTTGTGTAAAGGATTGAAGTAAACACTCAATTCCATGATTTGCAAATTAAATTATTAGTTCATCTTCTTACTTAATTTGTGCAGCCAGATAGTTGTCGGTCTAGACAAGATTTCTGCTGAAGAAAATATGCCTAATATCAGCAAATGTTGGGAGTGCACTCAGTGTTGGCTTACGGCCCCATAAATGCTTCTGAATACCAGTCATGGCAAACACAGAGGGGAGAAAGTGTTCTTCATCTGCCTGGCCACTGTGAGAACAGGACACTAGAACAGATGGGCCACTGGCCTGATCCAGCAGATGCTCTTCTTAGGTTCTCCTTTCATCCCCAGTCTACCCTGGATACTGCCCCAGGCTGAGCCCCCAGCCAGGCCAGGCTACGAACTGCTCTGCGACTTGCAACAATGACCAGGACTGTGGCTCAGTCTACTTGCCACGCAAGAAGTGCTGCAGCAATGGGTGCGGGAAGACTTGCCAAGCGGCTGAAGAAGGTATCTCTTGGATGCGGGAGATATGGGGACCTGGTGGGGAGGGCAGTTGTGTGTACATGTGCGTGGCTGGCAGAGGACTCTGCCAAGGAAGAGGTGCTGGGGCTCACTCAAAGAGTCTCCTCTCCCTCATGCCAAGCGGTGTGGTGGTGGCAGCTGCCAGTGGTAGGATCATAGGAGGGGAAATGAACTCTGCACATGCTCAGGAGTTTGTTTCCTCTTGATGATATCCTCACACGTTCCAGAGTGAGTCCTGGCATTCAAAACAAAATTCCATCTCACTACTGATTGCTGTCCCCTTCTCTCCATCTCCTTTTTCCAGAGCACCCTGGCGTGTGCCCCAAAAGGGAACTGGTGAATACCTTTGTCCCCTGCAATGACACCTGCAGAGACGACCGAGACTGCCCTCTCACCCAGAAGTGCTGCTTCACTATGTGCAGCCGGGGCTGCCTGGACTCAGGTACTGGCAAAGGCCCTGATCCCTTCCCCCTCCCTACTTCTCTTCCCTGGGCACCTAAGTGCCCTGGAGACTGAGAACGTCTCCCCATGGACCTCCATCCGTTCTGCCTCCAACAGTTCGCAGTGACAGGTGCCAGCTGCCGCCCAAAACCGGACGATGTTTAGCAGCCTTCCCCCGTTACTACTACAACCCATCGGAGAAGAAGTGCGTCCTGTTCACCTATGGTGGCTGTGAGGGTAACAGCAACAACTTTGAGACAAAGGAGGCATGTGAGGCAGCCTGCGGGAAAATCAGCCCAGGTACCAAGTTTGGGACCCACCAGAAATTGATCTTCATGGCTTCATTGATTGCGTTTATATATCCCCTTGTCCTCCAAGGAGCTGAACTTCCCCTTCCTCATTTAACCCCAACAACGACCCCGTGAGTTAGGCTAAGCTCAGAGGAAGCCACTGGCCCAAGGTCAGCCAGTGAGCTTCATGGATGAGTGGGGATTTGAACCCGCATCTCTCTCAGGTCCTAGTTCAACACTCTGACCACCAGGCAAGGCCGCAGAGCCCCTCTGGGAAGGCGGGCAGCCCCATCCAAGAAGCCGGCCAGAAGGGGTCCAGAGTTCTGGGAGGACTGGGTACACGGCTCTGTTCTGGACTTTATGTTTCATATAATTGAGAGGATGGAGCGGTTGGGATCCCTTAGCTGGACAGAGGCTGGATATGGGTGTTGGAAGCCACAGGAAGGGAGAGGGCTGCTCTTGGGCTCGGACCCTGCTTGCTGATTTCCCAAAAGCATCTGGCTGGCCCTGTGAGAACAGGATGCTGGACCAGATGGGCCATTGGCCTGATCCAGAACCTTATGTTCTTCTTAATATTACCACTTTGTGCCATAATCTTTGTATGGACATTTGTGATTGGAGCAATTTGAAATTTCAAGATAAGAGATGGTGTCTGAAATAGGACGCTAAAACTATAGATTCAAAATCCAACGGTGGGGAGCCTTGTAAGAATGAAGGTGGCCTTAGAAATTCTGACACCCAAATTTCAAAGTCCTTCTCTAGGAGGTGGAAATGACAGTTTGGCAGCTGCGGTGTATTTGACGTGTTGCCCTCAGGATTCATTAAAAGAGGATGACACTCCTTGCAAATCCCCAGAATAAGGAGAAGTCATGTATTAGCTCCATGTTTGGTGATAAGCAATCTTTGCCACAGGGTGACTCCTGGTCTGTGCCCAAAATCATATGTTTTTGCAGCTCTTGGAAGGAGGGTTTGGAGCATTTGGCAAAGGGTTGAGAGGCGAGAGGGCTGCAAAGATTTGAGCCAGCAGCCACAAGGAGGTCCCCAAATTCAGTCCCTGAGCTGGGCTGGCCCAAATAGCCCAGGCGCAATTCCTCTCTGCCTGGAAGGAGAAGGGTCTGTGATTCCTTCCCTGTGGTGGGGGGGAGGCTTCTATGGAGGAATGCATGCAGGGAACATACATAAAGTTGGAATTAAAAACTCTTGACACCTTCCTGCGCTAAGAAAAACCTCTTTGCTTTCTCTTTCACTCCCTTCTGTGGCCTCAGAGGTTTGCAAGCTGCCAAAGGACCCTGGTCCATGTGAGGCTTTTTCACAATTTTACTACTACAACTCAGCCACCAGGAAGTGTGAGATATTTGTCTATGGGCTCTGCGGGGGGAATGGCAATCGGTTTCGCACCAAACTGGAGTGCATGATGGTCTGTGGGCAAACAGGTAAGATTCTTGTCTCCATGTGCGTCTGCGCTTCTCTGTCTCTCTATCTATCTCTGTCTCTAAATATTTATAAGTGTGCATGTGGAGGGTAGGGGGCAGACTGTGGAGGTCCACAGGGTTCTCTCTCGGCTGCCCTGCTGGCCTTATCCTGCCCTACCCATGGGTGAGTTTACCAACGGCTTCAAGTAACAAGAAAGGAGATTCTGACTTCTGGCAGTGAGAGCTTTTCGACAGTGAAATGGTCTCCCTTGGGAGGTGGTAGTGAAATCTCCTTCTTTAGAGGTTTATAAGCAGGGTTTGGCTGTCTGTCTGTGAGGAATGTGGTTCCTTCTTTAAGGGGGTTGGGCTAGATGACCCTTGGGGGTCCCTTTCAACTCTACAATTGTATGATTCTGTCATTGCCCCTAAGGGCCAGTGCTCAATTACTTGGCTGCCTCCCCCTTGACTCTTTTTCTTTTCTTCCCCCAGAAAACTCCACTGAGGAGGACTGAGTCTCTCAGCCTGATCACCTTGTCTGAGAAGATCCCAACCCCAGAGCAGACATCAGTGTGTTGCCATGCCCCCCTCCTTCTATCTCTAGGGAGGCTGCTGTGGGATCTTCTATCCCCAAATAAAACCTGAGCTTTCTGGCATGTGCTGAGTCTGGTTCTTGCATCGCATGACATGAGGCCTCAAGAGGAGCCCCACATCCACTGCTGCCCCAGAGGGGGGGGGGCATCTCTCAAAGCCCCTCAGCTGCTGGGCTGGTGAGATTTGGGCCTGGGGCCTGGAAGGGAAGAGGATAATCAGTGTTTCTCAAACCTTTTTGGGTCACTGCCCCCTTGGTTCCTTAAACTCATTCCCAGCTCCCCCTTACTGTACCATATAAAAAACAGGATTCAGAGCAGGCGCTTGAAGCAAACCCCTAAGGGAGATAATAGCACTGAAATTCAAGCAGTAACCAGTGTAGCAGGGAGTTCCCCAGGCTCGAGTTGGACCATCATAGAAAAGCCTTCGGCCAAGATACTGAACCAAAACAGCAGCCAGGAGGCCTGATCTTTATTGTTGCACCAAAACCTCAAACTACAATGTAAAGGAAGCAGAGAGACGCCCCGAACAACAGATGCTCCCGCTTTAAGAGGTTTCTCAAAGTTACCCACAACACCTTGTTGGAAACATCACACATATGTCATAAACATGTCATGGAACAGGAGTGACGTCTGTGCAGAAACCTGACGGCCTGTCACTCAAAATACCCTGCATTCTTGTTCCGAAGTAAAACAAAAGGAAGTCTAAATACCAGTCTGAAGCCGGTTTCAATTGCTTGCTCACACTTTTCACTGACACCTGCAGTACCCGCATAGCCTGTTAGGGTTAGCTATGGTGCTTCTGATTGGGTGAGTAACCAGATGGCGGAGCAAATAACGGCTCCTGATTGGTCAGCTATTTTATGAATGGGGAAAAGAATGGGAAGACAAAAGATAATAACGAAAGGAAGGGATAGTGGCAATTTTCAGGTTGCACATGTAATTGTGCTTTTGTTCAAACTATATAGGTTAATTAAATCAGCCAAACGGATGAACCTGATCCAAGGATGCCAGCTTTTCAAGGTTTGATAATCATTTGCACCTCCAGCGTCCCCTGCCACCCCCAGTTAATTCCCCACGATGGGGCCCTGCCATGCACTAATAATAATAATAATAATAATAATAATAATAATAATAATTTATACCCTGCCCATCTGGCTGGGTTTCCCCAGCCGCTCTTGGCAGCTCCAACAGAATATTCAAAGCACAATAAAACATCAAACATTAAAAACTTCCCTAAACAGGGCTGCCTTCAGATGTCTTTAGATAGTTGTTTATTTCCTTGACATCTGAGGGGAGGGCGTTCCACAGGGCGGGTGCCACCACCGAGAAGGCCCTCTGCCTGGTTCCCTGTAGCTTTGCTTCTCGCAGTGAGGGAACCGCCAGGAGGCTCTCGGCGCTGGACCTCAGTGTCCAGGCTGAACAATGGAGGTGGATACGCTCCTTCAGGTATGCTTTGGGAACCACTGCTGTCGAAAGAGGTATTGGCCACTTTTCTTATCCCCAAAGGATCTCACAAAGAAAGAGTTATTTATTATTATTTCTCCAGCCCTTGTGCTCTCTTCCTCCTGCATTCCTAAATAAAGGTACCCCTGCCCGTACGGGCCAGTCTTGCCAGACTCTAGGGTTGTGCGCCCATCTCAAGAGGCCGGGGGCCAGCGCTGTCCGGAGACACTTCCGGGTCACGTGGCCAGCGTGACAAAGCTGCATCTGGTGAGCCAGCGCAGCACACGGAACGCCGTTTACCTTCCCGCTGGTAAGCGGTCCCTATTTATCTACTTGCACCCAGGGGTGCTTTCGAACTGCTAGGTTGGCAGGCGCTGGGACCGAGCAAGCCCTAGGCGCTGAGGCTTTTACCCACAGCGCTACCCGCGTCCCTACGCATTCCTAAATACTAAATACTAAATACAAAAATCAGTTCCATATTTAGAGCACACACATTGCGCTCCCCATCCAGCTTCATATTGTTTTTCAACAATCCACCACCAGGGGGGAACCTGCTATAGCAACCCCAAGAATGTGCCCCGAGAGACATACAAATCATGTGAAAGCTCAGAATATAAGGCTAAGAATATATGCAAGGAAATTGCACTTTGCTGCTTCAGAAGATAGGACCAGATTCCAACTAAACACTGGGAAAACTTTCTACTGATAAGAGCTGCATGAACTTTCTCCAGATTCATTTCTCTCTCTCTCTCTCTCTCTCTCTCTCTCACACACACACACACACACACACACACACACACCACAAACAACACACTGGGACCTTAGGGTTAAGAGAATGTAATTAATAAACAACAACAACAATTCTATCTCTTCTGATAAAGAAAAGTTTGACTTCCCTGCGATCAAATAAATCATGTTAAAGATGGACATAGGAGCCAAATATTTGAATGACACCCCCCCCCCCGCAGTCGATGAGCGTTGGCATTCAGATGGTGTGCATGCCCCGTGCCACGTGATGGATTATGCAGGGCAGAGCTCATTCCACTTGGCACCCCTGCAGATGCCAGGGTGGAAAGGCTGCCTCTGGGCAAAGCACTGGAGAGGGCCAGGTCGGGGGTGGGCAGGATCTTTGGCTCCCTTGGCCCCCTCCTGTGGAATGGCCACTTCCACTGGCAAGTACAACATGCCCTGGTCCAGCCAGGTCTGAGTCTCACAGACCCCAGAGAGGGAGACCCAGAAAGGGGTTTGTGGAGGAAGGAGGGTCTCTCCAACCAGAGCGCCACCATCCCTTTCTCTCTGCTGATGGTACAACAGGAACCTCAGGGAAAGGAATCCTGGCTTGCAGAATCTAAGCCAAGAAGCCCCTTTTTCCTTGGGGAGGGGGCGCCATTTCAAGCAACTGCCATTTGCCCTGGTCCAGCCAGTTCAGAGGGACATAGGCTGAGCACTTCAGTGAGTGAGGAAGACACCAAAAAGGGGCTTTGGAGAGGAAGTAGGGTCTCTCCCAACAGAGCTCCACCATGGATGTAGCCAAAGGAGGGCAGGTTGGGAATTCCCCCCCCCCCATAAATAAAAATCAATGCAAAATAACTAACTGAGTTTCTGCCCACACCTAACATAAATCCTGGCTCCGCCCATGGGCTCCACCATCCCTTTCTCTCTGCTGATAGTACAGCTGGGAACCCAATGGAAGGACATCCAACTTTGCCAATCTAAGCCAAGAAGCCCCTTCTTCCTTGGGGAGGGCGGTGTCATTTCAAGCAAGCCATCTTCTGTGGAAATGTTATCTACATCTTTGCAGCTGTTGGGATGGTTTGTTGGTGGAATCCCTCCTGCAAATTCTGACAGCCTGGAGTCAGCTCTGGGCGGAACAATGGTCTGGCTTAGTATTAGGCAACTTTCTATGTTTCTTTTTTTCATAATTGTTGTTAAATTTTCTGTTTTACAATTTAAAATATTCATTTTAACATACTTAAAATATCAATGACTTCCCTTCTTTCCGTTCCATGGTTCATTTTGCATATTAAAAATACCTGCATATTTTACAAAAACTAAACCATCCAGTATTCCATTATTGCATCCATCAAAACTTATTTACACTGTTGGATTTATCTTAATGCTGTCAATGTTTTCAGGTGCACACTATTATTTCCTATATATTCAATAAACGTTTTCCAATCTTCTTTAAATGTATGTTCTTAACATATTGAATAAGAGAATTGTTAAGTCTGTAAGTTGTGCATATTCTGTCAATTTAAATTGCCATTCTTCTTTGGTTGGAACCTCACTCGTTTTCCTTTTTTGGGCTAACCAAACCTGGGCTGCAGTTGTAGCATACATAAATAACCTTTTCTGACACCTGGGAATTTCAATCTGAATTATCCCCAACATAAAGGACTCTGGGTTTTTGGGGAAAGTACTTTTCCAGCTCGTCCTGGTTCCCCCAGGCATCCCGTTAGTCATTGTGGGCAGAGGATGCTGGGTTAGAGGAGCCATTGGCCTGATCCAGGAGATGTTCTCTTTTTGCTCTTACGTTCTCTGCGAACCTCTGCCCTACACACACACCCCTGTTGTCCAGATCTGGCAAGGTTTGCTGGTGCCAATCGCAAGAAGTGCGGCTCAGGCAGAGCAAGTCCCCATGTGAACAACAAGTTGCTGCTCCTGGTGCTTCTCTAGAACAGAGAGAGAATGTGCTTGAGCCATCGAACTAGGACTTGTCGTTGGAGAGTCAGAGAGGTCTTTGTGTGTGTGCTTTTTCTATGGCATCTACTTTCACAAGTACTATCAGTCCCAGAGTTCTTTGTGCAGATGCAAAAAACAAACAAACATAGAACGGATGGGCAATTAGGGGCATGGATCACGATGATGCCTGTAAGATTTACAGATCAGAATATATGCAAGTAAATGGAGCCAGCTTGCTTTCTGCTGCTCCAGAGGATAATGGATTCAAATGACAAGAAGGGAGATTCTTGTCTTGTCTTAAACATTAAGATGAAATTTCTGCCAGTAAGAGGCATTCAATGGTTGGGTGGTCATCTGTGATTCTGGCATTCCAAGGGGTTGTGCTAGATCAGGCTTCCTCAACCTCGGTCCTCTAGATGTTTTGAGACTACAATTCCCATAATCCCTGACCACTGGTCCTGCTAGCTAGGGATCAAGGTTGCGGAAGCTTGATGCTTGGGTTCCCTTCCAATGCAACAATCCTATGATCCTGTGAAATAATATCTCATACTGTACTGAAGTATTCTACAAACTCACTAAATATTTCCATGTGAAATACTGTATCTCAAAGAAAAACAACCCAAAAACAATTTTTGGAAAACATTACAAACTTTCTCCAGACCCATTTCATTCTCCTTCTCTCTCTCTCTCTCTCTCTCTCTCTCTCTCTCTCTCTCTCTCTCTCTCACACACACACACACACACACACACACACAGGGCAGGTAATTAATAAACAACAATATTTATTTCCCCCCCTGAGAAAGTAAAGCCTAGTTCCTCTGGGATCAAATTAACTACGGCAGAGATGCAAGGATGGAAATGTTGCCTCTTTGCAAAAGCACTGGAGAGGACCATATCCGGGGTGGGCAAGATTCTTGGCTGGCAGAATTTAAGCCAAG